CTTGTCAAGCCATTCTGTGGCGGCGTCCCGTATAAAGTAGAGGAAGATGGGCACGGATGTTAGCTCAGGGCCAATCTTCCTCAGTGAAAAAAAAAGAGGATTGGCAACAGATGTTAGCTCAAGGCTGATCTTCCTCACACACACACATGCACAAAAAAAACTATTAAAGTCAATAGTGTAATTTCCTATAATAACAGAATAAAAGAGAAAAACCACATGATCCTTCAATAGATACAGAAAAAGCACTTGGCAAAATCAATAGATGCAGAAAAAGCACTTGGCAAAATTTAACATTGATTAATTATAAAAACTAATCACAGAAATAGAAGAGACCTTCCTCAATCTGATAAAGAGCATTTTGTCAGATTATCTTTTCCAACAATACATCCCAACTCACATGCTTTTCTCATGTGTCATTTACACTCATCCCATCAAGAGGTAGAGATTGTTCCCTTCCCTTGAGTCTGGCTGAGTGGGCCTGTGACTACAGTGGAAGTGATGCTATGTGACTTCTGAAGGTACGTCATAATGCTGAAACAGCTCCCATCTGGTCTTTTGGAATGCTTTCTCTTGGAATCCAGCCACCACGCTGTGAAGAATCCAAGTAGTCTCTGTAGAGGAACTGATAGCCAGCCTCCACTTGCCAGCCATTTGGGTAAGCCATCTTCAAAGTGGATCCCCCAGCTCCCAGCTGATGCTCCGCGGAACAGAGACAAGCAATCCCCACGGAGCCTTGTCCAAATTGAAAATTCATAAGCTAAAAAACTGATTGTTGTTGTTTTAAGCCACTAAATTTTGGAGGTTTTGTTTTGTTTTATGGTTATTATATAACCGTAACAGGTATCCATGAAAAACCTACAGCTAGCATCATATTTAATGGTGAAATATTGATTGCTTTCCAAGATCAGTTGAAAGCAAGGATGCCCAGTGTCACAACTTCTATTTAACCAGTGTACTTAGGTAAGAAAATAAAATAAGAAGCATAAAAATCAGAAAGGAAGAAGTAAAAGTGCCTCTATTCTCAGATGACATGATTATTTACGTAGAAAGTCTTAATGAATCTATGAAACAACTACTAGAAATTATAAGTGAATGTGGCAAGGTCTCAGGATATAAGATAAATATTAAAAAATTATATTTTTATATACTAGCAAGAAGCAATTGGAAAACAATTTAAAAACAATTTCATTTATAATAGCATCAAAAA